GAATCTGGAAGTTAAGGAGCATAAGCGCTTTTGAAAAAAATCAGAATTAGAAATGGTGCAAGGGAAGGTGTGACTTGGGGTGCTGGAGGGGTGAGGTGATGAGAAATCAAGAGGTGAGAAGGACAGCGAGGAGGAGTGGGACAGGCACACAGAGGTAGAGCCAAGAATACCTGGTTTCCTGGGAAATAAAGAGAAAAATTTAGTCTACTTAACTTGTCTTCGTGTCACCATGCCAGCAGACACCGTTTCATGAATACCTCCTCCCAGTCCTCTGATAAGTGGGCATGTGTTGGGGTAGTGTAGGGATGGAAATGCACTGGCCACACCCCAGGGAAGTAAAGTGGCAGGGATCATTTGCCATTGGGAAGTGGGAATGGCCAGCATGTGTTTTGGCTTGGGTGAGGTCTGTTGAACAGAGCTCAAAGTTCAGCCCTACCTGACCTCTAGTTCAGTTCTAACTTTCATGTTAAGAGCTGGTCCTCATTTATTTTTATTATTATTTTTTGAGAGAGATTTTTGCTATAGGGTGTTATGTGCTCGACAGAGAGACAGAGAGACAGAAAGACAGAAAGTGAGAAATCACCCCCTGGGGGGATGGCTATGCCACAATCCCGTCTCCTCCATTCTCCTCTCAGGATTCTGGGCAGGCATGCACTTGCTCCTGGTGTGAGTTTAAGCTGCCAGATCTGGGACTTGAACTGTGGTCAATTATGTAGGAGTCTAGCAACATAACCATTATGCCACCCGCTGGTCCCTGGTCCTTGTATTTTATATCAGGAATTTGCAAAGTATTGCATGCAGGCCAAACCTGGCCTATCACTGGTCTTTGTAAATAAAGTTTTATTGTTCTTGGCCACACTCACTCATTTACATATCATCTATGGCTGCTTTCATGCTGTGTGGACAGCACCGAGTTGTGACAGGGGCTGTATAGCCTGAATGGTCTACAATATTCACTATCTGGCCTTTTACAGAAAAAAGTTTTCCAACTGTAGTTTCAAATTGAAAATATAGTAGCTAAACTCCTTGAGGCATGATAATGTGAATAAAGCACTACATATATAATCAGAAAATCAGAAATCAAGCTTTAAGGATGATAATGTAGATGAAGCATCACATATAAAACCAGACGATATGGGATCAAGGCCGAAAGCTGCACAGACCTTCAGTGGCACCGAGGGTGAGCCATTAGTCTTTTCTGGGCATAGGTCCACTGTAAAATGAGAATCAGCTGACATATTCTGTAATTTGGGGCTGTTATTCAAAGAAGACTACTGTGAGTGAAAGCATATTGCAAACTATGCCTCATCATACATATGCTGTTCATTTTGATGTCTGCAAAGCACCCACTTTGACCTTCTAGACCAAGTGTCTGGATCCATTCTTCTATGGACTGAATATGCCTGAGCTTGCGATGTGTCATTTTTCTTAAGCACTCTTCCTTGACTTGAAGGGGAGCAGAAGAGCATTTCTATTACAGAGCACAGACAGAAAAGAGAACACTAAGAAAGAGCCCCTGTGCATATGCATGGTGGAGAACAGCAAGGCAATGGTGTGAAAGCTACTTTTTTTTCTCTAGAAGGTCCTTGGAGAAGATAATCATTTCAGCCTTAATCTTGTGAATTATATTTTTTTCCCCTTCAGGACTCTGAACATAGTAAACCCTATTACAACAACAAGGATAATTCAGTGGTTGACACGAAACCAAAATTTGGTTGATAGTTTGTTCATTGTAATACTGAGTTACAACTCAGAGCCTGGAATTCCCAGCCTCTGTGGATTATTTCTATAGTAAGGATATGTGAATCCTCAGGTTAGTTAAATTTGAGAGAAAGTCTTTGCCCAACAGAGATTAGAATTCTCAGTGTGAGGAACCAGCAGATGGTGTAATGGGTATGTTGCTGGACTCTCACATAGTCAACCGTGGTTGAAGTTCTGGACCAAGTAGCTTAAACTCACACAGGGCACATGTGTGTGCATACCCAAAATATGGAGAAGAGAATGAAGAAGGGATTACAGTGTGGTCATCCCCCCTGGTGAGTGATTTCTGTCTCTCTGTCTCTCTGGTGAGTGCACACATCCTATAACAAAAATCTCCCTAGAGAAAAAAAAAAGAATTCTTAGTGTGGATTCTAGACTATAAAGCTAATGGTATCTGTAGTCTTCCAGCAGGCCTTCTTAGTGGTGGAGCTTGCATCTTCAGGTGCTGCGTGTCAGAGGTCACCTCTTCTCTCTCATCTCAGTGTCTGGAGTTGGGTTATTTATACAGTGAGCTGTGATCTCTGCTCCCTTTATGCCTGCCCTCGTCAGCTTAAGTCTAAGTGTATGAGTGTACAAGATCCAGGGGTTTTGATTGCATGTAATTGCCTACAACTGAATGGCAATAGGGACCTGAGGAGGAGAGAGGTTAAACTAAATGCATCTGAAGAAAAACAGAGTCAAAGTCTGTCCCCAGTGGCAGATTATGTCCCAGGTGACCTGCCTAGAGACACCATTACCCAAGAGGCAAGGTTAAGGTTGCCTGTCAAAGAGGATGTATATAACAGCATAAAAATCTTTTGGTTACTACCAAAAGTGGAGAAGTCAAGAGACTGGAACTAAATGGCTGGAGGCAAGAGCGAGTGGTCAGATTTCATAATCAGAGGGGCTAGGCAGTAGGCAGGCCTGAGAGGTAAGTGAGGTTTAGTAAGGGAGAGGAAGCAATAGATACAGTTGTGAATGAGGAAGAAAGGACCTTGCAGAGTTATGCCTGGAACACTAGGTGTGATTAGTTGGTTCCCTTTTGGTTGAAAAATAACATAAATTGAATTTCTGCTGTCTTCAAGAAAGGAAAAAATGATGTTGGAGAGTAGGTGATTGAGGGGATAACTGAGATATCTTGTAGAACTGAAGGACTGAGATGCCTACCAAGGATAGACTAGAATTCGGAGGTGGATTCCCATAGAGAAACTAGGCATTGTCCTTTCTCTGACCCTTGACTTCTACTTCCTTTTATGTCTACTTTGCTTTTTTTTTTTTCACTACCAAATGACACTTTTGGCTGATCAGCCTGTGGCCAGCATCTAGCAGCTTCTGAATGAACACATCCTCATTTTAGCTACCTGGAAATACTGAATTCATTTTCTCAGAGCTAAAATTCTTGGAGTTGTTGAAGGACAGTTCCTAGAAGAAAGTTTCTAGAAAAAAGGAATATGCCACAGGAAATAACAATGGCATCTGGTGTCCTGCGGCTTGATTTTTCCATCTGGGCCCTGCTGGGCCTCAGGAGGATGAAGGCAGAATCTTTAAAAGGCCACACAGAGAGACCCAATGTGTAGGTTTGTCTGCTATTCTCTTATTAGTCCCCGGCCCCAATCTCCTTAATGAACAATCCAGGTAGGTAGCAAGGTCAATGGAGTTTGCAGTGAAGAAGTGTTCCTCTGGAGATGAAGAGTTCTGGTGGAATTGTACCTGGCTCTGGAGTAAGGAAAGATGCAGTTGGTCTCCCTCCACACACACTTCTCTCCAGGAACCATAAGTTTGAGGATGGAAAATTAGGATCATTGGTAGGAAGGATGTAGGGTAATCATCTAGGAGATCCATGGAAGAGTTCTTGGAATTGGATTCCTTCTATTCTTTCATTTCCCTTTTCTGGAACAGATTTGGGGGTGTGCTTGGACTTGGTTGAGCTAAATGTACCAAATGGGGACCAAAGAAAATACAGTAAGCACCTAGCTACTAAGGGCTGCCTCTGGTGGTAGGAGGCTTTTGGGAAATGGGTGAATGGGACTTGTCCAGTCTTGCTCAGCATGGAGGAAAATGGAGCAAGATTTGGGCTATGAGATTCTGATGAGAAAACAAAGAGAATATATTCGGCCTTCCTATTTCCTGTGTATTCTACAAGGTGAGAATTTCCATCACTTTTGCTATGTACCCAGTAGATCAGCCTGAACAAGCTGCAGATAAGCAGAGAGGAAGGAACCACACCAGAGACCACTGTGAAACACATGGAGAGGACCTCTTTTGGAGCAGAAGATGTTTTGCTAAAACTGTGTATGTGAGATGAATTTCATTTCCCATCCTCTGGTCATCCCAATTTTTCAGTGACCTGTGAAAGGTGGGAAGCCATGCTCTTTCACTCTGCCATGGTTTTCCCCCCAGCTCTTCAATGAAGTAATTCATAGTTAGTAAGAAAACATTTACTATATAAAGAGAACTTTTTATACAACCCAAAAAGGCCTGATTTGAACCCTTCTGTCTTAACCCATTGGTCTACCTATCTCACTTCCACTTATCCTTCATGTCTTAGCTTAAATATTGATTCCTTTGAGAGGCCTTCCTGAGGCCCATAATACACCTCCATCATTGCACATAACCCATTCTGTTCCAATTGCTCGACTGCACTGCTGCACATCCATTAGACTAGGAATGCTTGGGGGCAGTGTAGTGGGCTTAGTGGGTACCTCAGAGATATCAGGTTCTAATCCTGAAACCTATGAATGTTACCTTATATAATAAAATTTTGGTAGATGTGAGTAGATTAAAGATCTTGAGATAAGAAAATTATCCCAGATTATTCCCTTAGGCTTTAAATGCTACCTGAAGTGACTTTATAAGAGAGAACCCAAAAGGAGATTAGACATACAGAGGAGAGGACATGTCAGGATGAGGGCAGATATTGGTGTGATATGGCTTCAAGCCAGATACTGCTGGTAGCTGCCTGAAGCTGGAAGGAGCTAGGACTTCTTCCCTAGAGGCCCCAGAGGGGCCCTGTGACATCTTGATTTTGGCCCATTGAAACAGATTTCATACTGCAGGCTCCAAAACCACAGAAGAATATATTTCTGTTATTAAAGCCAGGACACCAGCACAGTTAGGAACTATGTCATTTCTTACCAATATTGTGCATGCACAAGCCCAGAATGGACTAGGTGTGCAATCAATGACTGTTGAATAAATGTATTGCAGAAGGGCAGTCTTTGAACCTAGTCAATAAAGCACATATCAGAAATTCCCATTTTTGGCTCTCTCCTCAGTAGTGGTGTGGTCTTGAGCAAGTCACTTCTCTCTTAGTACCTCAGTTTTCCCACCTGTAAAATAAAGCAATATCTGTCTGAGTATGATTTGATGAATTAAATAAGAGGATAGGTAGAAAAGTGTGTTATAAGTAGAATATCACCATTTTTGCCCTCATTCTTGCCTGACGCTCCCTGCCCCAGGCCCCATGAGGATAACAACTACACTATCACTATGCTGGAGAATGTCTGTGTCTAGATCTTAGTGTGTCCAGGTGAGGAAGGGCTTGATGATGGCTTCATGGTCTTGGTCTGCTCATCATGATTTCCCCAGAACCAACTGTCTCCTTCTTCCTTTATAACCTCAGAAATTCTTGCTGGTCAGAGGAAAAGACCTGCCCAAAGGCAGTCAAGATTTGCAGCCTTGCAGGTTCCCATGCCACTAGTCTTCCTGTGTCTTTCCATGCTGTTTTCTATGTAGCTTTTCCACCAAAACATCACTATCACCTGCTTGCTTCTTGCCCTCTGGATAGTTCACGCCTGGTCCACATTCCTGTTCAGCATACCTACGGCAGATGTCTGTACATAACTGTCTTCAAAGTGACTCACTTCAGCAACTTCCCAGGGTCGCTCAATGCTCCATATGAATTAATACCCTAAGTAACTGAAAACTGCCCTTTTAGCATGAAAAAAATTTCCTGGCTGCTGATTCTACTGGAAAGTTTTCTACACATAAAATTTTAGAGATATTCTTATCCCTTGACTCAGGAATTTCACACCTGGGTTCCAAAGCTGCACAAAGGAATTCACAAAATAAATTTTATTGCAGTACTATTTGAACAAGCTTAAACTTAAAAAACAGCTGAAGCATCCAAAACAAAGAGGTAGTTTAAAAAATGGTGTCAAACAGCTAAATAACTATTTTGAAGAGTCTAGAAACTATATTTAGTTATATTACAGAGACATGAAGAAAATTTTTGTCACATTAGGAAAACATCTTTTTAATAGTAGTATACAGACACTACTGTTTTCTTTTTCTCTTCCTTAAATTTATTTACTTATTTATTTATTTGTTTCAAGACAGACAGGCACTCAGATAGGGTCTTCATGCCATGATCCACCTCCAGCCTCAGCCAGGTCTAAATCATTGGCATCTGTACATATGCCTGGATGACAGGGAGGCCTCAGGATATGAACTAGGGACCTTCTCACATGGGTCCAATTTTACCACTGTATCAGTGTCTGGCCCAATGACGCTATTGTCTTCTCATCCAAAATGCATTTACTTTTTTCTTTTCTTTTTTTTTTTTGGAGAGGTTTTTTGCTATAGGATGCGTGCACTCGTCAGAAAGACC